AGGGGGGTGCCTGCAAAGACACTCTAACGCTCAAGTAAGTGCTCGACGTATTAAATCCGGTAGTTGAAAAGTTAGTTACGTACCTCGCTGGGGTCCTAATTCTAGTGATTCTTATTGGGCCGCGATTAAGGACTGAGCCCCGGGAAATTAGGGGGCTAGTTGTTACTTATTTATTATGGGGTAGAAGGGTGTCACAGTCCCCATCCCCGTCCCCGATTTTATCAATCGAGGGAAATCCTAACCCAATAAACACGGGTTTTCCCCGTCCAAATCGGGGCGGGTTCGGGTAAATACCAACGGGGCCGGATTAGATTGTCATGCCTAATGCTGAGTGAACCCATATTACTAATATTATGTTTCTAGAAAAATATTATATATACATTTTTATCTATATTTATAAAATATAAATGGGTATCATGAAATATTTATAACTTAACACATTTAAATTTTGACTAATATAATTATATAGACTATAGTTATAACTTTATATATAAGAAAATATTATTTTTTAACATATATTTTGTGAATCTTAGTGTATATAAAATAAATATGTTATTTTTGTATGCCTTATTGATTTTTGACAATGTCTCCTAGTTTTACTTTATATTAATTGTCACAATTTCATAATTCACCATCAAAGTTTCACTTACACAACTTTTTCCTCCTCCTCTTATATTCATTTTATATATAATTAAGATCTTAAACCCTTTAAGTGATAGCAACTTGTATCTTTTAACTAAAATATTCAAAATTCATTTTAGTCTTGTCATTACAAGAAAAATGCAAATTACTGATAGATAATTTTTTACGAATACAAATTTATCGAAAAATTTATATTTTCAACGTATTTTACCCACGCAAAAAAATCGTAGGAAAAGTTATATTACCAACAAATAATTTTTAACGAATACAAATATGTCAAAAAAATTATATTTTTGATGGATACAAATCTATCAAAAAAATTTATATTTTCGACAAATATCCGTCGCTAATTTTCGACAGATACAAATCTATTAGAAAATTTATAGTTCCAATAGAAAAAAATTCGTTAAAAAAATTATATTACTACTGAAATATTTCCAACAAATTTTTATATTTTTCGAAAATATAAGAATTGTTGACAAAAATATTTGATACTTAAGTCAAAATTTTCCGATAGAATGTTACTAACGGATAATGGTTTGTCAAAAATTTGATTTTTCAAAAATGTTTAATACTCTATTGAAAATTGCATTCATCGAAAATGTTTAATATTTCGTTCGGCAACAATAAAGATGATTAAAATTGACAATCATATATTAAAAAAGATCTATAAAATTTTAAATATATATTTATATATTCTAATAAATTGTTATCCAAAAAAGACTAGTAAATTATATATACATATATATATATATATATATATATATGTATATATAATTTACTAGTCTTTTTTGGATAACAATTTATTAGAATATATAAATATATATTTAAAATTTTATAGATCTTTTTTAATATATGATTGTCAATTTTAATCATCTTTATTGTTGCCGAACGAAATATTAAACATTTTCGATGAATGCAATTTTCAATAGAGTATTAAACATTTTTGAAAAATCAAATTTTTGACAAACCATTATCCGTTAGTAACATTCTATCGGAAAATTTTGACTTAAGTATCAAATATTTTTGTCAACAATTCTTATATTTTCGAAAAATATAAAAATTTGTTGGAAATATTTCAGTAGTAATATAATTTTTTTAACGAATTTTTTTCTATTGGAACTATAAATTTTCTAATAGATTTGTATCTGTCGAAAATTAGCGACGGATATTTGTCGAAAATATAAATTTTTTTGATAGATTTGTATCCATCAAAAATATAATTTTTTTGACATATTTGTATTCGTTAAAAATTATTTGTTGGTAATATAACTTTTCCTACGATTTTTTTGCGTGGGTAAAATACGTTGATATATAATAAATAAATATTTATAATTTTATAAATTATATTATCATTATAAATTATAAAAATAATATTTTAATATATATAAATTATTATTTAGACTTTTAAATTTATAATAAATAATGTAAATTATATCATAATATTAATTTTAAATAGAAATAAGTAAAATTTTAATTAAAAAGTTAAATATAATATAATTATTATTATTGGTTAATATAATTAAATATAATATAAATATTATATATATTATTATATTTTTATAACAATCCGAACACATTGGAATGGAAGGGATCTAGAGATAGTACAAGTAGGAAATTGTATAGTTGAGGATGACTTAAAAGAATTAATTTGTACTACCTATACTAACAAGATATATCTACTTTCGGTAGCTTATCTCATTAGAACTCCACAGTTAAGCATGCTTAACTTAGAATAATTTAAGGATAACTAACATTTAGAGAAGTTTTTCAAAAAGTGTATAAATAAGGACAAAGCACGCCAAAACTGAAGTGTCATGAAATTGAGTCTTTGAAATGTTAAATATGAGGGATATTACATTAATAAATTTATTAAAATTAAACAAAAAAATTTTGACAGATTTATCCGTCGGAATCACATAAAGATTTTTAAACAATTCCGACGGATATAATGGATATTTACCACGTAATCATCCGTCAAAATTTTTACTGTCAGAAATTCTTTTCTTCCTCTTATATTCATTTTATATATAACAGAGACCTTAGCAGCTTGTGTCCGTTAATCAAGATATTCAAGATTCATCCATATCTTGGATATGAAATAAACTATATTAAGAGAGGGAATATTCACCTTGTGTGTGCTCATGATCTCTGACAAAAATTAATTATTATTTTTAACTATAAATACTTAATACCAATACTATGATTATTCAAAAATAAAAATCATTCATTCAAAAATTTGTATTTGCCTCTTTATTCTCATATATATATATATATTATGCTGCATTTCATGTTATTTTAAAATATGCAATCTAATTAATTTAACTCAACAAAAATTACATTTTTCTCTCTTGAAAGATATTTGTGACTCCTAATTAAAATGAATTTATAACCTTTCCGCTCTCTAAAATTTATTTCACTTTGATCTATAGTCAAAAATGACATCAGTTAGTTAATTCGTGTGGAAGGCAAAGATCGAGTAATTATATTGCTGGTTTCCGATTAATTGCTCAATTAAATTGAACTAAAGTTTTGAAGTCGAAATTCTAGAGGATAAATTTAGGAAGGTCTTCCTATAAAAAAATCCGTGACCAGTGAGGGTTAAGATATCTCACAAAATCATGTTTAATGGATAAAAATTCACCATAAAGTTTATATAAAAATTAATACAAACTTATCTTGTATATTCAACAAATTTAATTAAATATTTCTATAACAGTTTACAATTTGTAATCTAATACTAGTAACTGCCATTTGAAAGACCATTAGGAAAAGTGATTCTAAACTGTGCCTACGGCTGAAATGGGAAGAAATTCAGTAAATCCTCCTTTCCTTAGCCCACTTCCGGGAATTACTTTTAATCTTCCACTTTTCATTCCCAGCTGGTCGATTTTGTTCTTCAATTTCTCGAACCTTCCGCTTCCTACAAAAGTTAGTTTTGAACAATAAGTAACCTAGAAAGCATTGGAACATGCATGAACAACCAACTCTCTTAACTTAGATAGGTGTTTTAATAATATAGTTTAATGCAATCTTACCTATAGGATGCAAGGTTTTGATCAGAAAGCAGCTCATCTGCAAGCGTTGCTTTCCTCTCCTTCTTTGTTAATCTGCCTGAGAAAAAGTCCAATGGAGAATCTACAACTGTTCCAACCTGATCATATTTAAAATTTCAAATGATATAAAAGCTGTCAAATAGAAATCCATGTTTTAATGGAAGATGTATTAACAGTCAAACATATGCTTGTGATCTATACAGGCATGTAACCAAAAACTTGCCTGGAAATATTTGGGAAGTGTCTTCGATTTGGAATCACCTTTCTTGTAGTGTCGCTTTGGATCAAGGGCAGCCCTCAACTGTCACCGTCAAAATACATGCCTATTAAAATCTCTAAGGCACAAAACAAAACTAGACAGCTTAACACAAATTGAGAGATAAATTCAAAATCTCAGAATGTGTATTTTTTTTCCAAATGCTTTTAATATGACTCAACATTTGTCATTGCATCCTCAAATGTACATATTCATTGCATGAGTTTAACTTGATATTATATACACCAATTTACATCATTGCAGCTTATTTCATCGTACCAAGAAAGTGTCCAGAATATTTCTAAGGTAACACCATGAAATGACGTAATTACAGATCAGGGCTGACAATTATTTGTTCCTTGTTAAATGGGGTAAAAGGCCAAAGCAAGCAGCAAACACTTTAAGTCATTGAAACATACACTATTAGCAAGAGGCAAGAAATCTAGAGTCCCAGACTGAGAAGGGTTTTTGTAAAGCAAAAGTCCAACATAAAAAGGGCCTAAAATTTGCATTCCACAACTGCAATAAAAATCTAAACCCTACATGTTCCGCTATTACCATATCACTTGGAGAAAGAAAAATCTACTTTTTATGTTTTTTGTTTCAATTATGTCTTCTCATTTTGAATGTGATATGTATGTGTAAAGTTATTAGTTCAATCCAAGCTAATTTCACAAGACATTATATTTGACCATATTTAGAAAACACCTAGAGAGAAAAGTAATAAAAAGGAAAAGATGTTAAAATTCAAAAGCACCTTCAATAGCTGCAAATCTTTCTGCAACTCAGGGGTAATGGTTTGAGCTGGCATATTGAACCTGATATAGATGTAAATATAATAAGATAATTCCATTTTATACTTCAACTAGAAACCATAAGAAAAGATAACTACATAAAATGAACATGAATATATAGATATTTGATTAAAAAAAGGTTACTACCACTGCATTCAGCTAAGCTGCGTAAAAATGAATTGATAAACAACCAAAGAAAAAGAAGAAAGAAATCAACCGTGCTTGCATTCAGAAATGCAAACTTGCTCAAGACATAATCTATTGCTGCATTGCATACCATTTTTCCCCAGCAGTATCTTTAACTTGCTTTCTCAGTAACTTATTCAATTTTCTGGGATCGTTTGGAGGGACCAAAAGGCCATCAACCAGCTCTAAACTGGATTTCCAAACAGTGCTGGTTGATGCCTCAATTTGAGGTTTGGGATGAGACCCATTAGTGGTTTTTAATGATGGAATAGGAAGCTGTGGTTGCCATGATAACCCAATCACTGGTTTGCTCTCCGGCATTTCGGCATTCCTGAGTCAAAGTGAAATGCACAATGAGATTCAAAAGTTATATTTAATTATACTCAAAAATTTAAAAATATAATTGTTAATTTTTATAATAATTTCTTTTAAAATTATATATAAGGTGCTTTTATAATAATTGTTTCTACGATTATTTTATTTTCCTTCCCTGATTATATTTTAAAAATAAAAATTTAGGACTAAATTATAAAAAATATTTTCAAACAATAAGGAAAAACTATAACATAAAAATAAAAATGACCGAAAAGCATCTCCTCTGTCATTTTTCCATTATTAGTTTCATTAAGAAGCACACAAATGAGAAATGGTCACAAATAATATTCAGATCCAACTCATTTACATCCTTCAATCTCAACAAACTTCCATGTATCCATAAGCTCATTGTAGATGACAACAGACAAGTTTGAATCTCATTTGTATAACCAGTCTATGCATAACATGTAAAGTATAAACTAATTGGTTACTCTCCCTTGCAATGGAATCCCTCACCCATTTCTCATCAACAGCCAAGGGAGCCTCTATATCAAACCAACACCAAACCATCTTTTTCACCCTAAATCCAAAAGGTTAATGTTACAATTGTCCATCCTAGGAAACATAGTACCAACTGATAAATAGTTGCTCCCTTCCAACACTGAATCTTATCAGCAAACCCAATAGACACAGCCTTAAAAGAAAAATTCAATCTGCTAAGCTCCCCGTATGGAAACTAAACAGCACAATCCCACCACCACCCCTCCATAGATGTTAGCTGATTCAAATGACTATGTTGTCAAAGCCAACCCAACGACATCATTAATTCTCTGGTAATCAAGATTAAGAGGAGGGTGTTCCCCTAACATCCAAACCATACACATGAACCATGCTACCATGAGCAACACAACAACCACCATCACACTCACAGTAAGCCCACATGGCTGTTCCATCACCCAATGCCTAACTGGCAAAGCACTATTGTCAAACAATGACTACTATACTAAAACTATGCTTAACTTTTGGTTCACGATCCTCAAAAGCTTACGTGTGATCCTCACTTTTAGTTCAGCATACACTAACTAAAACCATGCTTCATTTTTGGTTCAAGATTCTCACTTTTGGTTTACGATTCTCAAAAGGTTATTTTATACAGAATGAGATAACCAGAATATTAAGCAAACTAAATAACTAAGGGCCACTGAGTCAAATTCAGTCATAATAGACAAAAGAAAAACATGCAATTAGAAGACGGCACAGAGCAAAGATAATAATAACAATCAGCATCAGCAAACCCTTGTAAAATTTAAAACTTCTCAATGCTTATACATTCCCAAATTACAAGTCATGGCTTTACATTGCATCGCTCTATTGCATGCAATCTCCTGATTCCAAGTTCATCCTGTCAATTAAGCGAGACACAGCTAATCCACACTATTCAAGAAATTACAAATTTAATATTTCCAGAGATTATTGATAATGCTCCACCTAAAATATTCAGATTCCTCTTTTGATGCTACAGTTCTCAAAAAGTAACACATATTAGCAATGTTCTAAAACCCAGTAAAGTTAGTGGGTCAGAGGTCTATCGGCGGGTTAAAGAAGTCCAAAAAAAAATTACATAACACATAATTTCATGTCTAGAATTAGAATCATCATGGTACAGCCAAAAGTGTTAAAAACTTAAAATCAAGATCTTATCAAGGATTGGGAAGGAGGTGAAAACCTGTAACTTGAAGATCTTAACTCTGATCATAAGATCCTACATTCTTACTTAAAATAATTGTATATGATACACATACATAAAAGTAACATAAATTAAATAAAAAATAACATCTAAACTACAATATTAATAAATTTAAATAAAATTCATAATTATAATAAATCATAAGTTCAAAACATGATGGATAGACTAATGCAAATAAAATTCATAATTATTTGTTTTGTTTTATTTAGTTTTTTTATTACTATTACATAGTTTATTATATCAATCGCTAAAATTCTATTACCATTATTATTTAGTTTTTTTTTTATCATATTACATGCGATGCTTATTTCAAAAACAAATGAAAAGTTACAAATAAACTTGACTCAAACTAAAACTTTAAAAAAAACGTTGGGTCTATTGGCCCAATACTGCAACCCAATTCTTACTGTAACCCTAAGACATTATGCCTCCTTTAGCTCAACCTTTGACTGCAAATGGGTAGAGCAGAATGCAACAGAAGTGATTTTAGAATCGGGGAAAGAAAATAATTATAGTCTTCAATATCGAAAGGAATCATAGATCTCATATTCCACGCAAAAACTCGCGATCCCACCTTTATCCGATCATACACACGATTCAGCACGGACAAGGTGTTGTGAATGATCTCACGACTAGGGTCGCGATTTTAACAACATTGAATATAACAACAAAACAAATTACTGAACAAGAGAAACCAAATTACATAGCAATAGAGCAATCAAATATACAAAATAGGAACCAATACTTTCAAACAACAAAAATATATTAGTAACTGTGGAATACTAACCTGGAAGCCGTGGAAACTGCGAGCGAACAATAAACTTTGATGTTTTGTAAAATCCAAAATCAGTCTCAACAATTTGTTCCTCGAGTTCTCGAACTAGGGTTCGTCACCCTCAATTGTTTAATGTTTTTTTAGTTTTAATGTTAATGTTGGTAACCACAGTGGTTTAGGATTATAACCAAGCCCATTCGAAAAGTAAGGAAGAAGGTCAAAAACACACACAACTTGGGCTACAGGATAGTGTCGGCCCAACAACAAAAACAAATTTAAAATATAAATATATTTTCATTACCAAATATATTTTTTATATAAAAAATTCTCTGTTCGACCTCAAATATTTTTAAAAAAATTGGGTGCGATGGCTGTTCATCGAATTGTAAAATACCTAGCCTCCAAATTTTGTTAATGGTTTCACAATTATTAAATAATATTTTTAATAAAATCATTTAAAAGAACATTTTAGTAATTATAACATAATTTTATTAAGTATTTAATTCGTTGAATTATTTATTATTGATAATATCTTTAAAATCAAAATTAGGTTCAGAAGTCAATTACG